GGCGGTTGTGTATTTGTTTCGAATGAAAAGGGTCATTGGCTTCGGTTAAATTTCTCTCCCTCCACCCCCACCCCCCCCAATGAAATTAAGACACATTCCCGCCAGTCCGGCATCTTTTCGCATCTTTGCCTTGGAAATGGTATTCAGTCGGAGAGAGACTTCTCTCAGTTCGTTTTCTACTCCGGTGTGGTGGCTTCAGAAAGACTTGAATTCCCACGGAAGTTGTAGACCTGGAGCTTTGCCGAAGCGATGCATTCTATGACTTGAACTGACTGGGCTCCCTCAGCGGGAGGGAAGGGACTGAGTCGAGCAAGGCTATGGCTTCTTCTCCCCCCATCCCCGCCTCCCCGGGAGTAAGTAGAGAAGGTCCAAAATGAGGGGGGGGGCAGAAGCGCCCTTCAGCCTCTCCTTCCCCTCCTCAGATATTCTAGGAGAAACGGGAGGGAAACGCGGAGCTCCGGATCGCTCGGCTAAAGCCGAGAGGCAGCCGCAGCTCCTGTCCTCCTGGGAACTAAAAGCTGGGGTAGCGGGGAGGGAGAGGGGCGCTGAGTGCGAAAAAGCTTTAGGTGGGAGTCGCTGGGTATCCCCGGATGGTTCGCCGCCGCCTCCCCGGTCAGCGTTTCCCTTAGACTGCGGGTGGGAACGGGGGACGCCGCCTCCGATTACAAAGACCGGAGTAGAAGGAGCGATAACCTTCCCGCCGTCACAGCGACCCCCTCTCGGGAGGCGTCGCAAGGTGCCCGCGGGAGCCTCGAGCACTTTCGGCGGAGACGGAGAGAGGGAGGCCGGGTCTCTTGGGGCAGCAGCCAGGAGCAAGCGAGGCGCAGCCATGGAAACAATGGGCTTTCTTGATGCAGAAGCTGTTCTGAGGGGGCTCGGCCCGTGAGTGGGGAAGCGATGCCTCGTGCCCCGCAGGAAGGAGCTAGCCGGGCAGGTGGGAGACAGGAAAGCGGCTGGGTGGGCTCCGTTTGCTTGGAACAGGAGTGGTTAGGAAATGTCTCTTGCTGGGGGATATCGTCTCCTATGTGTGTGTGTGGGAAGAGACTCCTTATCGCCACATCCACCATCTCTGCTGCTGTTTCTGCCACTGCAATCGACAGGCGGGTGGCTTTGGCGTCAGCATCTGTCTCTCTCTCGTGGTTTTGGGGGCGGGGGGGAGACGATCTTCGCTGCAGCCCATAACGCCTCGCCCTTACGGTATCAAGAGGGACTGCTGCCTCCTCTGATCTCACCTCGACTCTGGCTGTTAGTGAGCTTGTTATTTTTAATTGGCCCCCTCCTCCCCACTTTTTTTTTTTAAGGATTTGTCCAGAAACAAAGCAAGCGGGTTAATAGCGTAACAATAATAATACAGTAATAGCATCAGCTAGCTAGCGCCTAGGCGAATAATAGAGGCAGGGCATTTCACATTGTCACCATTGATATGAGATGTATACGCAAATTGCAAGTTTTTTTTGGGGGGGGGAGTGTAATCAAACAGACCTTAAATATAAGGTACCTGCTATCTTAAGTTTCTAATGTCAGATATATGTTAATCAGATGAGAACCTGAACAAACTTAGATTAGCTTCTTTTTTAAATGATCGTCTTGCTGTAGCAAAGGGGACAGCCCCCACTTGGGTGGTCTCCTAAGCAGAAGGCAGTTTTATTATTCCAAATTCACATGTGCCTACTCCCACACTTTTAAAAAACTTAGACAGCAAACCTCTTAAGCTTGGAAAATGAGGACTGGGAGAAATGATTGTTTTTTTTAATCTATAAAGAGTTTAAGGCTTTAAGCATACTTTAAAATTGCATTTTGGCTGTTAGTAGGGCATTAAGTTTAATTATCAAGTTTGATAATTTGATTTATAAAAAATGTTCAGTAACAACTTTTTCATGTTCTCATGAAATGTATCAAGCTTTTTTCGAGATACTAAAATTTCTGCTGCCTGAATGGCTTAACGCTGCTGTAACTGTCAGGCATTAATGGTACATAATTTAAATTCAGCCATAAAGGAAGAGAAATGGTTTGGCTTCTATCCAGTATTGACCATTCACTAGTTGGGACATAAGAGAGAGTGAGCTCAAAGTTTACAGTTGTAAGATATATGTCATTATGGCTATCAAGTTGTAACTGGGGAAAAAAAACAGTGTGCCTATTCCAGTCTCCCTGTATGTCCCTACTTTATTTTCAATTATGTTAGCTGACATAAAAACAAGTACTATTTGGCAGAGAACCCAGTATTTTGATCCAAGGCCTGAAGAAATTGTAAATCTAAGCAATGAATTGGATGCCAGGGATGAATATTGTGATTACAAAGGAGAAGCAGTAAACTGCCACATTGCATGTTCTGCATTAAAGGGGAAGCTAATTGTTAGAAATAATTTAGGTTTCCTAAAAATATAAAAGAACTGTGTCTTTGTGTTCCAAATAACAATAGACACCCATGTTTGCTTTTTAAGGAAAACGAAACAAAACAGCCTTTCAAATGCCTTCTACACTCCAGAATTTACTGCTGTAGTATTTGTGGTTAGTTGTTCAGTCTCCCCTTTTTGTAGGGGAATTACTGTGTAGATATGAAAACATTATCAGACATGCTGACATCCGAGCATTGTGCTGAAAGTTTGTAGCAGGTGAAAACTGGCAGCATCACTATTCTGATATAAAAATTTGTCTTAGAATATGAATTCCAGTCAATAATATTTTTTATCCATTGTGATGATGTCTGTTATTTTATTATCATGGATGTGAGTGTGGATTTCTTAGAAACGTACTGTTTTTAGATACGACTAGATTTTTATATTGTTAATTGTAAATTACTTGAATTTTCTGTAAATTTCAAATAGTTAAACCATAGCAGCTACTGTATCATTTATATTTAGAAATATCTCTGTTTGTCTATGGATCCCTGGTGGGCTTATTGTTGGAGACCCGATGTGAATTTACACATCAGCAACTATTCTTGTGATGGTATTTCTGTAGGTATTTCTGATATTGTTTCTTCACCTTTCCATTGGATTCACATTTTCACATTCTCGAAAAAACATCAGGATGTGGGAAGGGCTGAGTCTGTTTGTACTTCTAGTACACACACACAAATATCTGTACCTCTCAATTCCTCTCTAGGACTTTATACTGACACATCTACTTTTCTGTGTAAAGTAATTCTCAGTGTTAGTTGGTGCAAAACACAGGTGCATATCTTATTTATACAATGGAACTGTGAGAGTATGCCTTAGGCGTACACATTTATTCATTCACACCCTTTCTTGTGAATCAGGGTCTATCGGCAGCTCAGTACCACACCCCATCCATACCCTGTGTAACTTGAACACCAGGATTGTGTGGGAACGGGCCCTAAGACCTCTTCAGATTAAAACTCCAGTTTCCTTCAGACTAGTTGTTCAGGATGTAATCCCAAATCCAGCAAAATGTGTGGTAATAGCCTCCAGTTTTATTCTTGCACTAGGTTATAAACTGGAGACATCTGCTGAAGCAAATTGAGCAATAGCTTTTCAGACACTCGTGTGATATGTCTTATTTTAATAAGTAGGGACTGTGTGTGAACATGCCTTAAGGTGAGCTCTTGGTCAGAAGACAGCATCCAAAAAAGCCCATTTAATTTCTTCCCCAATTGTTGGGTTTCCATCCATTGCCAAGGTGAAGTGTACACCCTCGCTTGAAGCAGAGGCAATAAGAAGGGAGTAGATAGCTGAGGGGGAAGCTACAACGAACAACAAAGTTTCTTTCCCAAAGAAACCTGTCCAACATAAAATTTACCTGAATTGAACTATAGTCCAAATAAAATTTGGAATCCTACTGATCTGATGCAGTGGTAGGTTCCAGCAGAGACTACTGCTGGTTTGCTCAAGAGCGTGCCACGCACATGTGCGCAGTACAAAAATTGCTCTGTGCATCCATGGAAGCAAAAAACAAAATGGCGTTGCCTATGGCAGCAGCAGGAAAACTGGTTCAGGGGCTTGGCAGGCCTGGTTTGCTGATGGTTCCAGGCTGCCAAGCTACTACTGGTCCGAACCGGTTGGAACCCACCACTGATCTGATGGTGTTAAAACTATTCAATTCTTCCTTTTCCTATAAATGGGTATCTTATTCTTTAAAATGGGTAACTGAACCTCCACATTTTACGTGAGAGGCAACGATACTCATCCCCAATTTTTTATTGAGATATTAATCTAGAGATCTAGATTTAAAAAATATAGAATTTTGCTTAAAATTTCAAATATGCAAAATATGAAGCCGGCGTGCTTTAGGGATCTAAAACTGGAAACATTAAACAAAGTTTAGTAATATTGACATTTAATTCCAGTGTTTGGATACATTATCATTGCTTAGAATTCTGACTAATTATCAGTAGTAATCTTGATAGTCCATGTAAGAGTAAGTTATATATTCTAATTTACACCTCTTTTGATGGTCATGTGTCATCATCAGCCATTCAGTCATGTCCGACCCTTAGCCACTCTATGGATCAGCACTCTCCATGCTCCTCTGTCTCACACTGCCTCCTTCAGATCTGCCATGGTCATCCTGGTGTCATCCTTTATAGTGTCCAGCCAGAGGGTACTAGGACAGCCCCTTCTCCTTTTTTTCACGGATCACTCCCAGCATGACTGACTTTTCGAGTGAGACAGTTCTCATGACATGACCAAAGGGTGACAGTCTCTGTTCGGCAATCTTGGCTTTAAGTGATATTTTTGGTGAGGTTCGGTCTAGGACTTCTTTGTAAATTTTGCAGTCCATGGGATGTGTAATAGTACAAAGGCTTCTGGAAAAAAGAGGACAAAACATTTCTGGAAAATCATCATTTGTTTGAGCAGGTGTGTGGTTAACCATTCTCTGAAGGAGGATGCTGGCTTAAATGGGTTTATGCACCCTGATTCTTATTCAGCATAAATGGTGATGTGGCACCCTGCTGAATCTCTGTAAGCCTCTGTCAATTGGAACAAGTTTCTTGGTGCAAAGCTAGAAATGTTCATCTACACCTGAGACCGTTCTGAAATGTTTTAAGTCTGCAGTTAATATACAAAGAAAAAAGGTAATGGTGACAAGGCATTTTCTCTGTCGGTTGTGCTTCTGTCCAATAATAGATAAGATCCCTTGGTGTGGTTTTCCTCTTTGCACATATCTTTTCTTATCTCCTAGATGGGTAAGTGTATTAGGTGATAACTTTGGCTCTATCTGTTTTTTCTTATTGTGTGCTTAATTTTTCCTAAGTTCTCTAATTTCTCTACACAGCTTTCCCAAACTCGGGGCTTTGCACTTGATTGGTCTTTGGCTCCTATCCCTTCAAACAACATGGCTGTTTCTGATTCAGTTATTATAAGAACATATACACCTGTCCATCCTGAGAGCATCAACCTGATATAAGGTTGCTGTAGGCACAAAGTGATACTGACTTCATCAGAATCTATTCACAGTTGTATTAATTGCTTCTCACTTCACTTAAATCAGGACAACTTGCATGTATAAAATGAAGTTAGTAATGTTCACTTATCTCACCCCTTCTTGAAGTGATTCTGCTAAAACACTTTTTCCATATCTTTTGTTTTCCTTGTATGTCTACTCACTGCCCCATCAGGGTAATACAAGAATGTATTAATCACTTCCTTTTGGGCCACTCATTAGCTGCTTTCTTAACTGATGGCTAGAAGAGAGACCAGCTTGTAGTGTTCATGTTTACCTTGGATATAAGTGGCAATTTGGGATTACTGAGCTTTTATGAATGTTATGCATGTACATGGTGCATTTAGAATTGTCACTTCCTAAGAAACATCTTCAGTGTTTCAAAACTGGTTGGTCCAGTATACAATAACTTCACATATACAGTTTTTCCTTCAGTAAGAAAATATATTTCAAATTAGATATATTATTCTGAGCACAGGTTTATCATTTCCTGAATAAGCTGTCAAACATACTTGTTTTTTAAAAAAGGTTTGGGATTTAATTTAGTAGCTAGCTGGATCATAAACACCCAGATTAATTATGTAAATATTGCATTGTAAATTATTTTCAGGAATTGGCATTTGTCTTGCTGTTAATTGCCAAGTTATTTGATTGATTGGTGCAGATCTGTAAGTTCAACTATATATTGCTTTGCAAAAGAAAATAGTTATTAATTTTCCTCAGCAACTAAAGTTCTTTAATTTTTTTTATAATGCTGAAAACCAATTTGTTTATAATAAGAGAAAATACTGTTTTTCGAATTGCTTAATCCATAATAAATGTCAATCTGCCACACTTTGGATAGTACTGTTCCTGCTCATGAAGATATTTAAACATTTCCATTTTTAAGAGCCATATTTGAAAGCTTACTAGTCTTTGTATTTCTTTAACAAAGGGCTATATTGTTCTGACAATACAATTTAGTTGTATAATTTCTGTTATATTCTGTCACTGACTTTATCTCCCTTTCTGTGTTGCAATAGCTGCAGATTTTTTTTGTTCAGCACAATATAAACTTAATTGTAAGCTTTACACCTTTTCCTTAGGCCAAATGGGCCTACCAGAAGTTCATTTCTGAACTTCCGGTAGGCCAATTGGACCCGTTTTTCACCCTCCCCAGGCTCTAGAGGTTTTCCTGGAGCCTGGGGAGGGCGAAAACTGCCTCCCCCTCCCCTCCAGAAGGCTGAAAATCAGCTGGCCAACGTGTGCATGTGCACTGGATCAGATGGTTTGCGTGCAGACAGATATGGCTCATGTGCCACTTGTGGTACACATGCCATACGTTCACCATCATGGCTATATTGTGAACCACCCAGAGTTTTAAGATAAGTTGCCATACAAATCTTTTAAATGAATAAATGAACCAGTGGTGGATTCTGGATCCTGTTCCAACCAGTATGGTTGGAACAGGCCCGGCGTAGCCCACACGGACGTGCACCACACGAGTGAACACATGTGAGCGCGTGCATGCATCGTACCTGCCTGCAACGCCTCCACAAGCCTCTGCGATGCTCCAGCTGCTCAGCGGAGCATCACGCAGGCGCTGTATGTGTCGTGTGCAGAAGTGCAGAAGGCTTAAAGGACAAGTAAGGAGCTCGGGCGGGCCCTCGAAGCACCGTACCGGAACAGTACTCGGTGCTCCAGGCAGGCTCTGGGACGCCTGTACTGGGGCACACCGTCTGCAACCCACCACTGAAATGAACAAATGAATGAATGAATGTTGATTTCAAGTTCCATAATTCTTTAGGCAATATCAATATGGAGAAGGCTCCCATATCATGTAAAAACATGACGTTTTCATTCAGAAAAACAAAACAAATAGTGAAACTTGGAGAGGAAAGGGAAAAGAAAGAAATTACTGTGATAATTTTTGATATTGATAGAAAAGTAGAAATGTATTAAAGATCTATAAGGCAGCATTGTAGGATCGTGTAATAAAATTATTCTTTTGTGGTAGAAGTAGTTTGAATGAGTAATTTGGTTTGTTATTGTCCTTAGCATCTACCAATAATAAAGCCAAAGGCCAATAAAGAACAAATGAGTGAATTGAGATTCAGCAAGAGGGAGCAATATGGTTTCTTTCAATTAAGTCAAAATATGTGTCTTTTAATTGGGATTAATGGTTTTCACATGTTTCTCTTAATCTTTAATAGAAGTGTATCTTGAAACCTTGATGGTGTGTATAAATTATGTAGTATCCATAATTCTGTATGTGTCACATTATAGCAAGAAAAAGCTCAGCTGTATCCAATATGTATAAATCTTTACCTTACTAAAATCTCAGAGCACTTATAAAATTTATTAGACTTTATGGAGTATTGAAACTGATTGAAGTTCCTACATGCCTCATTCCTAAATTGGCTATATAATTTGATATTGTGCCATTAAGCTTCAATCCTAACTCTCACTTTCTTTATCATTGTTTTTTTTTACCATATACCAAGAGCAGAAATGGTCTCTTGTCTTTTAAAACATGACTAGTCAATATATTCCACACATATACTGACACCTATTTTTCCTAAATAATTTTCAGCGTACTATTTTCAAATTTTGTGATTTTTTAAATGCTTTGGTGCTTGGTGCGTCTTATACTCCGGTGCATCTAATACTCCGAAAAATATGGTACCTATCATCCCAGTATGAGATAATCTGGGCATACTCATTTGCCTATATAAATATTTAGTTTTGCACATTTGGATAGTTATGCATCTTCTCCTTTCCCTTTAATTGTTTATGCTTGTCACAATACTAACCCAAGGAGTCCAACTTAAAGTATCCATCTGTATTGCAACCAAAAAAAATGATGTTGGCAGTCAAAGTAAGCCAAAATACTAAAAAATATGGTATGATTGAATGAGTTGTTTGGTACCATGCAAGCAGAGATAGAATTATGTACTGTATCACTGAAACATTGCTTAGTCATTAAAGTGAGAGAATGTAGGTCCACAATAAGTCAAAATTATTTATAATATAGTTTAACAAGCTATACCAAGCTATTGATTTCTTTTGTCACTAAGCTCCTATAGCAAACTTTTGAGATGCACTTGAGTGAATTTTAATTGTGTATGCTACTCAGAACTATATGCCAGTCAGATGGGGGTGGGAAACTATATAAATTCAATAAATTGAATGTGTCTTTTTGAGTCCTAGTGCACGTAGTGCATAAAATTGAATTGAATTGAAGGATAGAAATTAAAAATAGCACAAGATAATAAATAAAGCACGTGTTGCTATGTAGTCTGATGCTTACTGAGTTAATGTTAATAGGTTTAATCTAAAGTAGTCATATCATAACAAACCTTGTGATGCAGCCCAAATAAGATTTTAAATATTGGTGTGATTGATTTGGCCAGAATCTAAATCAAATGTTTTACATTGGCTCAATTTAAATCCTTTCTAGCCTTCACTTGCCTCCCATGCATAAATGAAGCTGATTTAAGAAATCCTTTTCTGGATTTCAACTCACTTCCTCAATTTTGCTCACAGTGATGACCTGATATTCTGTCTGGACCATAGTTAATCCTGCATCTTTTTTTTCTTTCCCATACTAGCAAAATATGTGCCAATTGCTCTCCCTTCTGCAGGCACGTATTTGGAGACCTGGTTGGGGGGGGGGAGGAGCATCAACAGTTTTGCTCTTCTCTCTGTTCCCTTAGTCTTCAAGGGGAAACAACAAAATTCTTGCTGATTTCAGTTTTTTTAATTCTTCTGCTGAACCTCTTAAAAACAAGCAAAAATAGCCAGCATTTCACTGTTCCATTATTAAATCTGGAACAAAATATAAAAACAAAATAAAGACCCATTCTTTCATGGCAGGCAGCCAAGCAGCCGAAGACAAAAGGTCATTGAAGTCACAGAGTGAGGACTATTGGAATTGCCCACCAGAACACACACCAGCCACCTGGAGTGGAGTTGTGTAAGATGAAATGAGGTGCAAGAGACTGGCTTGTTTGATTGGGGGAGGAAAAAAAAAACCACTAGTTTTGATGCAGAGTAAGACTCCTCAGTTGGGGAACAATTTTTGAGATTGATTGCGATGGGCTAAGGATGATATCATCCATTCCTGTCTTAGCATAATGGCAAGTATCCTATCTTCACACTGGAGATGTGGATCGGCCCTGGAAGTTATTCTTAGGTTGACCTTAAATTAGGTCTACAGGCAGGTAGTCCAGTTTTAAATACTTTGGGCATGATTATAAACAATGGCTTCTGACTGTGTTGTTTACAAAGCTTACTCAGGTTGTATGATGCATTACAAGAGATATACAATGGAGTTACTAATTGGTATGTCTGGATTGGTGGAATCATTTAAATATAGCAGTGATGGCTAACGTTTCCAAAGGTATGCCAAAACTGTGTGTGTGTATGTGTGCTATTGTGCATGTGCGCATGCCCACCCACCTGCGCATACACGAGTGACCCCCCCCATCTGCACATGCATAAGCAACCCCCATCTGCGCATATGCAAGCAACCCCCCCATTGTGCATGTGCAAGTGACCCCACCCCCATCGTGCATGTGCAAGCAACCCCCACACCTGTGGGGGGGGGTTCAACCTCCCCAGGCGCCAGAGGCTTTCCTTAAGCCTGGGGAGGGTGAAAATGGCTTCTATG